GACCTATATACCCTTCCCGACAGAAGATTATTAACCAAAATAATTTAAACAGTTTTATAATATGCCAGTTCTGACATAAATATTTTTTCATACAATTTGTATTCCCAATACTTGCTTTGTAATGATATTTAACATAAAGCAGGAATTGGCAAAGGATGGCCTGAAAGCCTAATTCAGCCCACTACCTGCTTTTGTGAAGTTTCACTGAAACAGTCGCACCCATTCATTAATGTATTGTCTATGGCTGCTTTTCATGCTGCAAAGGCAGAACTGAGCAGCTGTAACAAAGACCATATGGTTCACAAAGCCAAAAATATCAGGCCCTTTTCTGAAAAAGTTTGCCAATCCCTGCCCTAAAATATGAACTCAGATATAGTGCATTAAACAAATGGAGGAACAGCAAGGACTAAAATGTATGAGATGCAAATATTAAAAACTGCTCTACCAAATCCTATACATCTGCCCAACACAAATGTATTTTGTGTTTGTGTGTGTGTGTGTGCACCCAATACACAATACATTCTGTATATGTTACATCAGATGGATTATTTTTCACATGTACAAATTACAAAAGTATTTTCTATCCGACAAATACTCATTCTTCAATAGGAAAGAAGTTGTATAATAAGATAGTAGAACATTTTTCAAGCACTAGATTTCTGGTCTATAGCAGTCCTCAACAACCATTACTTACTGCTAAAAGCCAGAATAACATTTATTTTAAAATAACAAATTAACTAGTAGTAAACTGGAATGATACTGGGATCTATAGCCCATGTCAAAGAGGATATAAGCTTGGGATTGAGATAAACGTCTAAGTGATGGTCAGAAAGGAAGCTGCATCTTCTGACATCACTCCTTGACTGTTGCTCTGCACCACCAAGGACATGGAGGCTGTGCATTGAAATGGGTGTATTTTGGGGAAGCATATCTAATCTGTCAAGTTATGGGAGATAAGTGTAAAGGTGGATCATTTTCTTGATTTTCCTTTGTAAAATATGGAAAATGAACACCCATAAAGAGAGGAAAAATTACAGAGTTAAACACAGTATTAACTCAGTGGCTATCAAACATATTTTTATTTATAGCATAAAAAGTTCCAGACCAATGGTTTAAAGAGTCTTACAGGATCTGCTGTTGTTAATGGTCTATAATCCAAACTTCCTCTAAAGTCTCTGATCATACACATTATTTCATAATTTGGATTTGTAGCATCAACATCCTGTAAGAAGACAAAGGGAATTCATCATTTATTATAATCATAATACTGTGGTATTTGCTGCATTTATGTTACACATGGTTTGAAAATTAAAATTAAAACTAACAGATTGTGCCCTTTGTTACAGCCAAGCCCAAACTTTAACTGGAGATATGATAGTCTGAATTCAGGATTAATAATATACCCAGGAAATCACTTTCATATTAAAAACAATTCTTTAGTCTAAATGCATTGTTAGCTCCAAATGAAACATTTCTTATTAAAGCCACACTTAACCTATTTCAAAAATTCATTTGTTATATACATAACTTAATTATCCTAGAAAATTGAGCAGAAGAGACATACTGCTCAACCCAAACATGAATAAAAAAACTCCAGAAAAGTGTAAATTCTTAGGGGGAAAACTGATTTAATCATATTCTCCTCCCCAAATCCAAATCCAGTGTTTTAACAAAGCAGAAATATGGATTCTTTTACGTTCACTTACTATTTTTATTGACTCTATAAAAAAAAACTAAGGTATGGTATAAAACTGCCCCAATAGGATAGTAGGACACAGAATTTAAAGGAATTAGAAGGCAAGATAATTTTAAAAATCTTTAGAATTCAAATTATTGAATACTGACTGTAATCTACTTTTTTGCTTCAAAACTGCCTTCTAAGGAATAATACCAACTATGTCAACTGAGAAGCAGAATATAAAGTAAGAATTAAGAGGTCACAGAGATGTAAAAATATTATGAAGTACCCACAGAAAACAGTAGGTGGCATGTGTTAAGTACCAGTAGATCTATTTGTTTTATTATTTTTTCAAAACCCAACTGGTCATTCTCAGGTCACTTTCAGATATAAGCTGATTTATTTAGGCTGAATATTATACTGATTCCACAGTTCCACGGCACAACATCTTTATGATTAAGGGCATTTGAACATACTCCTAAGTAAGAAAACAATCCTGATGTTTTATTACAGGAAACAAGTTCTGAGAATATAATAGACACAATACGAGTACAATGGAGGAATTATATTTACAACAGCAGAATTTCTAACATGTGAAGACCCATAAAGAGATAGAAGACCAGTCTTCTACACAATTTTTCCACTGCTAATAAAGTTTCGCTACCCCCTAAGGGAACATGAGAGCGGCACTACAGAGCTACATTCTCAACATGTAGTATAAATCAAAACACAAGGAATTTCCACTCTTTCATTGTGATATGTTGAACTTATTAATCATGGAAAAACAATAAAATTTATAGTATAACCATGCATTTTAATTGGATATTCTTCTGAATGTATTTTTAGATGTTTTTAAAATGTCAAAATCTTATTATTCTTGATGTCATAATACATCCATTAGAATTCTGTAACACAATGGCTTATTATTCAAAATGGACTAAGATTTAAGACTAACTCATATCCACTAAAACTTGAAAAGCACATGGAGTAAAAATCTGTTATGATAGATAACTTATTTTCCCAAGCGTCTGTTAGTTATTTCTTAATATCAATTTAAGGAATTATACTGAAATCTTTAAATGAATGCCTAATTACTTTTTCAGAAGCTAATTACTTTCACTGACACAGTCAAATCCTTGGTGCATAAACAAAATGTGTTTCTTTTACAAACCTGGGCTCTTTTTTCTCTAAGTTCTTGCTGTTGAAGTCTCCTTTTTTCTCGTTTTTCCTGTAATTTCTCTACTTCTTTCACACAATTAGATTTTCTACGTGCTGAAAGAAATAGATGAGCTATAGAAGTATAGTTTCCTTTTCAGAGTACTGTACTTACACAAAAAATTTTTATGTTGAATTTTACCACATACACCAAAAAAAGGTACACAGTGACAAAACATGCCTATACCAAATATGTAAACTTTACTTATGAGCTGCTTTAACAAAACTAGGAACAGGACAATACACAAATAAGAGTCAAGAAAAAAGACTCTAACAAATTGATACATGTCATCTCTTGGTTTGGAATCAAAGATCTTTGAATTGGAAAGGATCAAGAAGCCTAAGAATTTCTTCTATAACATCTGTCAAATTATTATCTGGCCAGATTTTTAAATTCAAAGCAACTGAAACACTGTTATAGTTTTATATTTATAAATTTTTTCCTCCAAAATAACAAACTAAACTAACAAGCAAAAAATTTTTCCACAGTGGTAAAAAGCTGCAATCAAGTTTGCAATTAAAAATTATACTCTTTACCATTTGGGGACTTGTAAGTTGGACCAAGAGAGAATACATGTATGCCTAAAATGACTGAATCCTTGATACATGATTTACATACAAGGGGGTCCAAATTCCTTTTTTGCAGCTTGAACTGGAGATATATCTGAAACACTACCATTCTGTTGTGCAGAAGAAGACTGTTCAGGAAGTTGACTAGGCCGTGCACGTGCAGAACCAACCACTGTAAGTGACACAAAATTTTAAAATTCAGAACAAAAAATTAGTAAAGTTAAACCCTGGTAAGAGGAACAGAGATATCTAAAAAGAATTGATCCTTAAAAGTTGCATTAGTAAACTGCCAGGTTCTCTACTTATGTGTGTATAAACAAAATATATAATAATCAATTCTGTTCAGTAAACTGACAAACTAAGAGGTTTTCCAAGTAACATGTGCAGACTTAGGTTTTACCAATGTAACTATAGCTATAAAACTCAATCTGAGTAATTTATACAACAACCAAAGCCAAGCTTGATTTTAAATAATCATTTAAAAATCAAAAGTGTGCAAAATATGTATTTTATATGCATTCTCATTTTTTAAAACTTACACAATTCAGAAATACAGAAAGTAAAAACTTAAGTCCTTCAACCCTCCCTGTATTCCAAATTCCACTCTTTGCTCCTCAAATATGCAAATCCTGAATGGAGAATTTCCCACTATGAAAGTTACAAAAGTCTATAAAGGAATATTAAGTTAAATATAAACATCACATTTTACAAAGAAATATAAATTTTCACAAGGCTCAAAGGATAGTGCTTCAAGTGCTGGATTCTCCCTCTACCTTCAATCTCTTCTCCAATACCTATGCCCGTCCTGTCTCACCATCCATACATGCAGAGAAACATCACTATTAGGAAGGACCATTCTGAATTGCTGAATAGTAGAAAAGAATTTAACTACACTTTATATCACCCAGCTGAAAACATATGAGAGACCTGCAATTAACTACAATTTATACCTGGTTCAACTTGTCTTCAGCTAACTCCAAAGTAACCCATGACCCTTTCTGAAAATCGGTCAGCCAGAAAATCATGTAAAAATGTCACAATGATTAAATTTACCCTTTTGAAATCAATTAACGGACTTCCTCCCCATTCCTTTCTTTCTCATAATATTCTCTTCAAATCTGAAAAATTACTGGTTAAATAGGATGAATTAAAATTGCACATATCATGCAATTTCATATTCATCACATACCTTTATAAATCATTTTTTGATATCACTGACACTGTTGTGTTGGGAAATCAATATACCAATCTTAAAATTAGCCATGTAAAGTTTAAATAAATAATGTCGAGGCTAATGTTTACTTTTGATTCACCTTGTCAGGGCCGTAGGCAAAATTAATAGGTAAATTTTTATTTTTACCTCTATTATCTCTTGGAGGAGGATCATTCTTAACAGAAGCCACAGTCCGTCGATTCTACAAAACAGAAAATGTTCATTTCACTTTCTCTCTTTACTCCTCATATATATATGTCTATCATAATCAGCTTTTTTTAATTAAACAAAAAGTAGTTAGACACACAATAATATAAAACTAAATAGAAAAGAAGGAAAAAATAAATGGAAAAAAAGTGTAAATAATCTTCTATGAATTACCAGTAATGCAATCAATATCTAAGTTTCTTTCTATGAGTATCCTACCACTGCCCCAAAATATTCAGGAATTAATATGAACAGGCACTGCTCTAAGAACTTTAACCAGGCATCGTTCTAAGGACTGTATTAATACATTTAATCTTCACAACAATGTTATGAGATCATTGTTATTGTTACGCTGGTTTCATAGATGAGGAAACTGAAGCAGAGAGGTTAAGTAATTCCATTAAAGTGTATGTTTTTTAATCATCATACTATCCTGCCAAAACCATAATTTCATCTTTGAATGTCGAAGGTAATTAATAAAATACTAGTTTTAGACAACTTACAGCCCATTTTAACTGAAACATCAAACTACTATAAAATGCACACTGTCAGGTTTATTAAAAGGTTTCATTAGACTTTCAAAGACTTCAACACAGCATAGATTAAGACAGCAAATTTTTGGTCCTATTATTTATTTACCAAGACTTCATTTTATTCAAAAAAAAGGTATTAAGAAGGGAGGGTAAAGCTCAGTGGTAGAGTATGTGCTTTAGCACACACGAGGTTCTGGGTTCAATTCCCAGTACCTCCATTAAATATAAATAAATATAAATAATAAATAAATAAATCTAATTACCCTCCCCCCAAAAAACTTTTTTAAAAAAGACAGCAAATAATACAATGGTTCTCAATGCTAACTGCACATTCAAATCAGATGGATATTATTGAAAAGATATTCTAGGGCTTCCCTTTAGAGAAAATAAAACTGAATGCTTGGGAGTGGGCCTAGGAATCAGTATTATAAAAAATTCCCCAAGTGATTCTAATGCACAGCAGAAGTTTTTAATGATAACCAAGAAAGATAAACTGCGAAGATCCTTCAAGGTTGAAAAGCCAAATATGAAAAACAGTCCGTTTACAAGTATTAATGAATGATCTTTCTAAGCAGTGACTCTCAATATGCTGAAATTAAATGAATCGAAAATCTACTCTAAGTTCATATGCTTGGTTTAAAAAGCAGAATGTTTTGTTAATATTGTTGAGTTTCTACCATGTTATATTTAAATGCTTATGTATGTCTTTCCTGTAAGATAACAAATTCCTATAGGACTATAGTCATGTCACATTTATTTTTTTTAGAAGATAAAAACAATGTAGAGGAATTTCTGAATACAAAAAAACTACAGACTTAACTTTGAGGGACTACTTGATTTAAAAAGAATTGTATTTTGATACAAAGTTTTAACAGTGAGACATTTTGATAGAAAAAAACAGGAATTATCTTTTAAAATAATAAAAATAACATGCCTTCCAAGTTATATGGATTCATTCAATAAATACTAATAAGCAAAATGGCTTTGACCCATGTCTCCTAAGAAACTTAGTCTCAGAAAACAATCCTGATCAGGCATGTAATTTCTAAGATCTTACCTAATGTCAAAACTATAAACTAGACAACTTTCAATCCTTGAAAGTATGTGTAGATGGCAGAAAGAATTAAGGGTTTTTAAAAAAAAAACAAACTAATACATAAACATATTCTTCACAGCCTGTCCATTTCAAACCAAAATACACACACACAAACCCTGCTCTGAATTTGCATCACTAACCTTTACAATTTTGTTTACTTTGGCTGAAGATGTTGGAGGTGGGGGTGTTTCTGGACTGGGTTCAATTTCTTCATCAGGTACAAGGTCAGGGTTAAGTGAAAAGATGCTTTCCAGGTCAATCTGTTTTTAAAGATGCATATATTTTGAGAGCACATTTTGACAATTAACCTTTCATTTTTCAATTAAATGTATGTTGTTTATGAAATGTTAAACAATTTCAGCCTAATGAGTGATATTATCTTGAAAATTAGATTATCTAGAATTATAACCCACATATATTTTAAAGAATCTCCCTTAAGGTACAACTTTGCAATCTAGATTGTATGTTCAATCACATAAGATATGCAGGAGGAAATCTACCTTTGAGAGAAATTTTTTAATCATCTGAAAGTTTTTCAAGGAATGATAAGGAATACATGCTCTATATTAAAATTATTTACTTTCTATTTTGTTCTATATTCAAAATCTTGATTATAAGATTAGAAATAAAATTTAACCTAGTGATCATACCTCTTTGCCTTTTGTATCTCCATTTTCTATCCATTCAACAGTTACACTTTCATTATCTTCATTTAAAGATGTTACCATTGCTTGATGTATTCGGCCTAAATGGGAATAAAATATACACTTATAAAATACCACGAATTACGGTGTTCCTAAACTCTGTCAAAAAACAATTTTATAATTTACAAACTTAAAAGACTATGATACTACTTTTCTTACAAGAGACTTCCACAGATTCTCAGGATTACGGAACACACCTTTGCCTATGGAAACATACATCAATTTGCCACTTGTCAAGACCAGGAACTCAAGAAATTGGATTAGACTGAAAATTTTATTTTCAGCATACATGAAAAGTGGTTAAACAGTGGCATGGAATGCCTGAAATTTTGTACTATTAAAACAATTCTAATCCTTAGAAAGCTTTTCTGAGCCAATACTAATTCTGGAAAACACAACAAAAATTCATAAAGCATTTTTTAATACTATACTGATATAAAATACTTTTTTCTTAAATTTCACTAGCACATAATGTACAAATTGATGATATTGTTTTAAAATTAAGGAAAGGATTCTGAGTTCAAGAAGTCTGGGAAACACTAGTCTAAAATGTTCTTTTTCTTCATGTTGCCTATTCAAATCCATTCTACCCCTTACTTTCTCTGACGATTCCAGTATTTACCGTCTATAGAGAGAAGACGTTATATATATCTTAAACTTTTCTCTCTCCTAATAGACTATGGATCTTACCTGCTAATAACTATAGATATAAATAATTACTATACATTTTTACATAACATTCCATTATTTTTTTTTATTGAAGTATAGTCAGTTATGTGTCAATTTCTGGTACACAGCACAATGTTCCAGTCATGCATATACATACCATATATTCGTTTTCATATTCTTTTTCATTAACGGTTATTATCAGATATTGTATTCTAAGTGACCACCAA